GTAAGTGGAACGAAAAAAGTATCAAGTCTTCGTCACCTCATACTATCAGAACGATAAGATGCCAAGACAGCCTGGTATTTAGGCGATGGTCAGACTACCGACAAGCCAAGGGTACGGCGAACAGGGACGGTTCGTATCAGGCTCGGCTCGCGGAGGTCTACTTGCTGCGCCGGGGAGGAAATCATTGGAGGAGATTGCAGTTCTGGCGAACAGCGCAAGCGATCGGAACAATAAAGGAACGACGTGAACGGGGAAGCTCAAGTGCGAAGCGTTTTGTTGGCGAGGTCGGCGGGACTCTGTTGCGTGGCGACAGCGACCAAGAAATACAAGATTGCGAAGTGAGCGTGAAGAGATAAAAAGGTGAGCCGATGACTGATTGAACCCCTCAAGGTGACGAACACAAGGCCAGGCCTCTGCTAGTACCTGCAAAGTGGGTAGTGGGCAAGTGGATTGCCACTAGTGGCTGGGGTTTCTTCGGCTGCGGCTTAAGGGTGAGTGCAGGTCGACCCACCTTCGTACATGTACGAAGTACATTGTACATACTAGCGGTACCTAAAGAAGTATCCTTCCAACTTAGTGGTGAGTTGAGGCTCAAAGCAATTCAATAGTACTTAAGCGTTTTGCAATACCTCCTCACTCAAGTATGCAACTTGGAAGCCTCTAGGCAAATCTTTGCAGATTACTACATGGATTCAAGCTTGAACGGAGACTCAATTCTGAAAAAGTACCTACTTAGGTACGTCGGGACCACGTCCTGACATTCCGTTTGGCGAAGGGTCTGACCCCACACATCCCACTTCCGTCTTTGATCGCCTCACATATAATGCTGCACGTGGCTTCGCGTAAAGTCATCCACCTCATGTCTACATCATCTTGATTCCTGAAGTGCATTACGGCGTCTATTCTTCATTCGTCTCCTTACGAGAAGAGGCTTTTGTTAGCTTTGACCCAGGTGTCTACGCGGGCACAGAATCTTTCGAAAATTCTGGCGACTAACTCGATTCACGCGTGGTCTATTTCTCGTCCTTCATCGCCCCCCACTGGTATAACGCATCGTTTGGCTTCTTGACTACTGTATCCAAAAGTGAATATCTTCACCCATCAAACCTTGATTCAAAAAAATGAAGCGCTCACGAGAGCTTGGTGAAGAAATAGACCACAGTCTTGACATTGAGGACACTGAGCAGTGCCCCACCACAAACTCAAATTTGCCGATTGCCAAATCATTGTTACTTGAGTCCGACGCCGAAGAAGATAGCCACGGAAACACGATGAAATGTTCCCTACCACCGCATAGAGAACCACTCGCTTTCAGGTCGTACCAAGAATACGAATCTCACTACAGCACGTTTCACACAAATCGATGTCTTGAATGCCGTAAGAACTTTCCGTCTGAGCACCTGCTCAGTGTGCACATTGAAGAGTCCCATGACCCTCTCGTAAGGGTCAAGAGAGACAAGGGGGAGCATACGGTGAGCGAAATAAAAAAAAAAATCTTGACTTTCTCAGGAGTCGGCAAGGTTCTTGGCACAGAAACTGACATTCGCGGCAGTATTCCTGCTTTGTGGAGGGCTGTGAGCGGAAGTGTCTTACTCATCAAAAGCGCCGGCTTCATATGATTGACAAACACATGTATCCAAGGAACTTCTTCTTTGGAATAACAAAGGATGGTATCGATGGACGACGCTCACTGCTGGTTGAAAATACTCACCATCGACGGCGATCTTCCACAGTTTCTTTGACAAAAGAATCACGACGCGAAGCCAGCATCACGAAGGGGAAAGAGCTTGCTTCAACTGTCAGAGACGACGAATCCGGTCGAAAATCGTCAGAATCGACTGTGGAAGAGCCGCAAATCAAGCACAATGTTGATGCGGAAATGGCGGATCTTTCACGGGCCATGTCAGCATTGCAGTTTATCCCTAGCAGTGTTCGATTTGGCCGTGGTCGTGGTCGTGGTCGCGCAGGATTCTCAAAGTCATGAAAGACAGTCATACATGGCAAAGCTGTGCAATAATGATGATGATCAGTACAAAACAGATGGAATTGATGATTTTGACGAACCAAAGGATATCTACCTCATGCTTCCGCTGGTCCCTGCTAACAACAGCAACAGCTCCAGGATACTCGTAGATTTCACCCCGCCTTCCATCCGAGTTGTTTTCAATACAAACGCCCAAACGCCGTACCTTGTGCTCCTTGGAAAACTTTACTATTCGTCTCCTTTTTAGTCGCAGGAAGCGCACCCTCGACAACCACAGCTGACGCACTGTCGGTCTTCTTGGCCTTCCTTGAGTTCGGCTCGCGGGACTCTGCATATACAGGTACTGTTGAAGTTTGTTTCTTTCGTTTGCACACAACGAAGGCAGCAGAGCTTTGGAGGCGTTAAAAATTCATTCAACCGCAACAGAGCTTTGTACTCATTTTGAACAAACTGACCTTCTCGTAGCCCTCCTTCTTCCACTTCGCGATGAGCATCGCGTCAGCATATCCATTCTTCAGCAACCAGTCATACAGTTGTTTGCTAATGGCCTCTTTCTCGTAGTAAAGATCGTATATGTAGCGGCTCCTCTGATGCGAGATTTGGAAAATTTCCCATTGTGCTTGGTGCTTCGGACCGGGAGGCGGAGGTTTGTTTTGGGCATCTTTCATCTTATTGGAGAAGATGAGGAGGTCATCTTCTATGTCGCTGAAGCCTTCAGGCGGCGGCTTTCGCTTCGAGGAGTGACGTATAGCAGGCATTGTTGCAAAGCAGCTTCTGGTAGAGGTTCCTTGGGTGAGGTTTGTCTGAGGATGTGATACCACCAATTTGCGCCGAAAAGAATTGATGATTACAAATAAGCAAACAGAGGGCATATCGCACATACAAGTTGTGGCGTGACCAGGATGTGGCAAGTGTGGCGGGTATTCATCACGTGATATATATGGGCAGAGGGAGTTCGTGATAGCGCTGGGACTTTGGCTTCAACGTCACAGCACGGCGATCACGAGGTTGAGAAGCATTGACTGCCAACCATGGCTATCACGCCAACGCAATTCGCCAAGAAGACGGCGCAATGTGTGTTTTGCCTCGACATCTACTCTGACTACAGCTAACACTCCACGCAGCGGCCAGCTGGTCCGATGCGAAACGTCGAGTTCTCGCATCCTACCGCGAGTGGATTCGAGCGGTATGTCCTATCATTGCTCCCTTGTCGTCCTCGAGCACATTAGTCGGTGTACTTAAGACAGGTCGTGTTTAGATTTGCTTGTTCTCTCTTGTGGAATGTTGCGCTTGTTACAAGGAAGAAGGAGCTAAAACGAGGTATTTCTTTGACGTTTAGGCTCCTGAAATTCAGACCATGTACAACATGCCTCACCCTGTTTCCACCATCCGAACCCGTGTCCGCCAAGAATTCGAGCGAAACCGCTTTGCAAACAAGCTCCCGGTGGTCGATGTCCTTCTTTTCAAGTCCCATGCCGAATACCAGGTACGGCGCGCCACATCAGCCGGGTAGCCTCGGATGCAGTAGTGATGAGATTGTTGACTTTAGTTCAACACAGGAGACGATGAATTTCTGGAAGCAGACCACCCACGTCATGTCTTATTTCAAAGAAGAGAACTTCAGGGGAGATAAGAGACTCCCGTCAAGTTTTATGCAGGGGTTTTTGGAGGTATGTCGTTGCGTCCATCATCCTGCCAAACGCGCTTCTTCATGCATTCAGTGGCACTGACACGACACGATCCTTAGGGCCGAAATTAGCCCACAACCTAACCAACGACTGCTCATGTACATAATTCTTTACTTCTTTGAAGAAAAAAAAAAGAGAGAGAGAAGAAACAAAAGAAGTTCCACCTAGCAACGCCACGAGCTCCTCTATTCCGGGTTGATATCGACGACATATGGTGCCGTGACTTGAATGAAAATCATGCAGACTGACAAGCCCTCATTGATAAGATCTCTGATGCCGTCTCAATACGCCACCATGCTTTTTAACATAAATCATTGCTCCATTCACTGGTTAGGGTCAAAGGCCTGCCGTTTAGTCCAGAATTCGTCAGCGACAACGTCACACACGTCTTGCAGGTCATGCAAGCCCTTTTGAAGAGCATCGACTGCCGCGCCCTCTAAGGGAAAATGGTTAGTCCAACATCAAGACAAGCTTTGTGCCAACGTAGCAAGTCTTACCATATGTCTGAATTCTGAAATTCATCTTTGGCTCCGAGGGATGAGGAATGGTGTATGCACAAAATTCCACGTCCGGGCTGTATTTTTTTTTTTTAAAAAAAAAAAAAAGAACGAGAAAAAGAAAGAGAAAGGAAAAGAAAAGTCAATATGTAATCGAAAATGTGTGAAACATCATGGGTACCTTGTTTACTTTTTCATAATAATGTACCGTAGAGCATTCCCGAGAGTATGCCCCTCGTCAGTGAACTCGAACGAGGCAGCTGTGTCTGTTGAGCCGGGCAGCTGAGGCCGAGTTAGAGGACCGCCGGCCTGATTTTAGAATTGAGCACGGAAAGGGGGGGGGGGCACATACGATTTTGACTCTTTGGGCCTCAATCTCCTCTTCTTCTTCCCCTACGGTAATTTCAGGTATGCCACTTTGCATTTCTTCGTCCTCGGCAGTGACGGGTTGCGCCGATGGCGGCTCATCCTGCATGCTGACGTCCTGGGAGGCCGGAACATCAATATTTTTGGTGAGGCCAGGCATTGCTGTGGTTTCTTTGGTGAGGAGACCCTGGTGACTGGGAAGTTTTTGCAGCTTGTTCCTCTGGGATTCAGTCTGCAGTGGGGGTCCCTCTGATGGAAATACTCGTAAAGGTGCGATGGTCAGTCCGAGATGTTCAGATTCAGCCCGTCGTCGAGTTGAGGTGCTTATCCAGAAATTTTGGACGTTGCGAGTATGGCAGTGGGTCCGGCGAGAACGTGGGTGACCATGCTGCTTGTGTGCTGGGTCTTTTTGTCACAGGAATACAGTATCTATTACTGCAGTCCTTAACCAATCATCCGAGCACGGCCCGGGTAGCTCAATTGGCTAGAGCGTGGGACTTTTAATCCCAAGGCTGGGGGTTCGAGCCCCCCCTCGGGCGCCACCGATATTCCACATAAGTGGGATGTCCTTTTTTGCTCATCTTGCTCTCGTTTTGTCTTTTTTTTTTTTTTCTTATACATATGCCCATGACTTACGTGGTGCAGATTATAGAGGTAGCCTTTGACCAAGGTAGCGTTTACAGTTTTGTGTCTGAGTCAATTAATTCTGAATGACAGGTTAAGCGGCCTATCAGGGCTTGCAGGAACTGCCAACCAAATTCAAATATCCATTATAAGTCGTGCCCAGACACCTTGACCGTTGCCGGCGTGATTCAATGGTTCTGTTGAAAAAAAAAAAAAAAACACAAAAAATACAAAAAACGCCAAATTATTCATGACCACATCCAACATTTATCACGCATGTTCAATGTCTACATGTGATGTTATATTCATGGCCGGGCATCTTTTGTGGGCAAACGGCAACATTCAAGTCGCCACGCACATACAGGGTAAGTGTCGGCTTGGCCACGTCAGGCGCAAGGACACCGAACGCCCCGGATCACAACACACGACGCTGTAACGTGGTAGATGAAAGCAGGAGCGGGTTTGTCCAGTAGCAAAGGTATACATCGGGCAGGATTTCCCCCGTCGCGTTGCAATTCACGCACAGCGCGTCTCGGGACCCGGGGTTCTCCCATACAACGTGGCATCGACACGTACATACACTTTGCAGGGGACGCGCGCAAGGTGAACGAAAGGGCAATTCCCTCAACGAGCAATGGCCACAATGGATGCACTCGTCTGCGTCTAAAAAAAAAAAAAAGGCATGGAAGAACGTGTACATCCAAAACAAGCCGCATGGCCGCCTCGATTCACGACCCCCTTTCCCACCATCCTCCCCGCGAAAAAAAAAAAAAGGAGAGAAAAAAGGTCAAGAGCATGACAAAGATCCGGCGTGGCATGGAATGCTCATTTCTATGCATTGCCAGACTATGGACATGCGTGCCTGCCTGGCAACTTGGTGAGGCCAAAGGGGGGGGGGGTCTCCACGTCGACAGGCGCAGCATATTTCTTAAACACAGGATTCAGGTAAAAATGCAATTGGCTTGGCTGTGCTTGGCCGTGGCTGTGCATGGGCAGAAGCACAATGATGGCAGAAGAGAGACCGAGACAATGGACAAAGAAAGATGGCAAATGTGTCATTTTTTTTTCTTTCTCTCTTTCCCCATACCTTTTTTCTTCCCTGGCAGATGGGTTCCTCTTGTTGTTCCTCACTCCTTGTAGTCGTCTCTCTTTTTTTTTTTTGTCCCCCAATCTGGATACGCATGGCAGGTTGGCATAAAAGGGCAAGGCTCGGGGGCGCCCCCTTCTTCTCAAACCGTAGCGCATACGTTGCATTGCATTCCATGCATGCCATCCGCCGGCCTCTGGTCTCCTCTTTGGAAACATGATGTGTTGGAAAAGGCAAGGCGATCAGGGGGCGTGGGCGGGCGGTGATTGGTGAGGTCCGACGCCCGCGCCCCCCTCTGTGTGGCCCCGACGCTGCTGCCAGACAATCCACCTGACACCTGAGACGCCGACGTCTCAGGTGCAGCCCACTTGCGCCGGAGAGGGGCTCTGCGTTCGGGGCCTGGGGGCCCGTGGGCGGGCAGAGTGGGGCCAGACAGGGCAGACCGAGCAAGATGCGATGCGATGCGACGCGACGCGATGCGATATGCGATGCGATATGCGATGCGAATGCGATGCGATGCGATGCCATGCCATGCCATGCTAGGTGATGCCATGCGATGCCACTGGGCAGGTACTTTATGTAAGCAGGTACCTACCAGTACGGACGTGTGTATGTGTGTATGCGCGTACATATGTAAGTAGTCTACAACGTCGCGGGCCCGTGCCGAATGGGAAGCAGAAGCAAGAGCGGAAAGGAAAGAAACTCGGGGCGGCCTGGGAGCATCACCATTCAAACACGGCGGCTTCACTTTGCGGCTCTCCCTATTTGGTGCTTACCCACGAGGTGCTTGTATGAATCACCTGGTCTCCTCTGTACAAGGCGGCGCGCCGAACCGTTGGCCTGCCCTTTGCCACGCAAACCGTCTTCTAAAA